ATTTTGAGATCTGATGCTGTCTGCGTACGATGTCCATCTCCCACGTGTGTGATCATTAAAATCATCGTTTGACTCAACCCGGCCGGACCAGTGTTGTTATTGTGGTTTTTCCTCTTGTATCCATCCCCAATATTTGAATCCGTAACACTTGTAACAAAATGTGTGAGGACTTGGCTGGAGCCGACTCATTGCACATAGCGGACTATGCAGTTTTTGTGTTGATGCTGCTGGTTTCCGCAACCATCGGCTTATACTACGCTTGGATCGGAAGAAGTCAGCAAAATACCCAGGAATTCTTAACCGGAGGTCGAAAACTCACCGCTCTGCCCGTCTCCCTGTCACTGACCGCCAGCGACCTGTCGTCCATCATACTGATATCCATTCCGGTAGAGGTAATGTGGCGGGATTGGCCTCAGATTAAAATTCTCTCATTGCACTTTCATTTTTTCCTGTGATTAACTTTCCCTGCGAATATTTATGACTTTAAACTGTACTTTCATAAGTATAAGGACATTCCTTGTGGCAATTAATACAACATTTAAGTAACAGAAAAACTAATTGCATAGAAATTTGACTTTGAGTTTATGACTTGGAATATAAAAACATTCTGTTAGCTAATAAAATATTCCAAGCTGTATTATTGGAAGTATGACTTTTATATTTAAAATATCTCAGATGAAATGTGCATTAAATGTCTTTACACTGACACTGGTTTTACTGGTCCAGTCCATTTGGCCCACGATGAAAAATGAGTTTGACATCCACGCATTAGTAAAAACATTTATTCAGGGTTGGACTCCTGTTAGTATTTCAAGTCTACTGCTCCAATAGCCCCACTGTGTGAATTGCTAAAACTTTATAAACCTGCATGTGTGTCATGGTCTTGCTCATTTTCCTGTTTGTTAAATTGGAAACGCTGCTTGTCTGTAGGTGTACCGCTATGGAGCCATCATAGGGTATGCTTGCTTCAGGTATTTTCTGGCCCAGGTGTTCACATGTGAGATCTTTCTCCCAGTCTTCTACAGGCTGCCCATTACCAGCACTTTTCAGGTAAGTGTAGTAGCTTTTTGCAGATTGTGTACAATAACCAGAAGCGCGTCTGTAATTTAAAGGGAAGATATCAGCTTATTTGGCTTCTGGTTAAACCAGTAATGATCTATTGTGTAATAAAATATTTGTTTTTTAATTAGACTGCTCTATGGTACAATAAATGCACCACTAGTTTGTTTTTTAAAAAGTCTGTTTGGATGCTGTATGAGTAACTGTCTTCTCTACCAAGTATCTGGAGCTGCGTTATAACAAAGTAACCCGTCTGCTGGTAACATTCCTCGCTATTATTCGAGCAGTGAGTATGGCAGTAAGCAAGTTTTAAGACTTGTTTGGCTAGGGCCACATACCTGTAACCAGATGGCTATTTGTCCTTTTTTACCACAGCTCCTCTTGTCTGGACTTGCGATTTATGCTCCAGCCCTCGCATTAAATCAAGGTATGTTCAGGCCAAAGCTGACAGATTCAGGAAACATTACTGCACAAGTAAACTTGCGGGTACTTGAGTGACCAGTATCTTAAATGTTCCCACTTCTCTGCAGTGACTGGCTGGAATCTGTGGGTGGTAATCGTGGTAACAGGAATGGTCTGTACGGCATACTGCGCATTGGTATGGAACAACAAAAGCTGCAAAAGTCATCTCTCTGCTATACATTTCCCTTAAACTGAACTGTTTCTTGCTTTGGCTGTCTGGATTTAAATGGGCTCATTATTGCAGGGTGGAATGAAGGCAGTGGTTTGGACAGATGTTTTCCAGGTAGGCTTCGACATGCAAGATTACTGTTAATGCTACATAGCCTACATAGAAGAATATCAAATGAGTCCATTTCGAGTGCCAGGACATTTGGCTTTAATTCTAAATCACAATTAAACTTGAATTCTAGTTGTAGCAGTGGGGTAAATGTCTTGATATAATCCGATTTTATCTTCTAGGTTGGAATAATGTTAGCAGGCCTTCTCTGTGTCATATCCAAGTGTCTCTTCTTAGAAGGAGGAGTCTCTATTCTGTCCAATTCACAACAAGGAGGAAGACTGAACTTTCTGGAGTGAGTATAAGGGAAGAAAGTAAAGTAACTTTAAGAGCCTGCATATTCAAACCCTTGCATCTCAATACTGAGGAATTGTTTTAGCAAATTGAGTACAATTCTGCAACATAATTCAAATGATAGAAATGTACAGTACATTAAAGTGTATTTCAAATTTTAACTCAAGTGTACTTGTGTATTTGAGCCCCACTGTTGGAACTGAGTGCAACAAAAGCACTGCTTTCTTTACTTGGATTTAAATCACAGTACTTGAACTAGGCACGTTGATAGACTGAACTTCTGGAAACGAATTGCTTCTGTACTATTGTCTGAAAATAAGCCAAAGAACTGTGGCTGAAGCCCAATATAGGGAGTGATTGTCCAGGTAAAGGCAAACTTAAAAAAAAATTTTTTTTAAACAGCTCTAAATGAATAAGTCAAAACGACTCAATAGCCCAGGGGTATCAAACGTAAGGCCAAGGGGCCATAATTGGTCTACCAGAGACTCTGACCAAAGTAGATAAGAAGGAACAATCAATTATCTCTTTTTTTTTCTTTTTCTTTTAAAGTGGGTCAACAGTAAAGACCTCCAACAATTTTTACACATTTCTTACATTTTAAGATGGTCCATTGATGGACTTGCAGCTATATTTAAATGTATAATTAAACTGTACAGAAAGGAAGTGTGACTGGTTCGGCCCATGTCTCCTGCAGTGCTAAGACTTTGACATCCCTGCAGCAACTTCTGACATGTTTGACCATATTAGCATACTCTAATCTACTCTTACTCGGGCTTATTTGGATAGATTGCAAATATGCTGAATATTATGTTACAGTGCTGGGGTTTAAAATCACATGAACTTTATTTTCTGAGCAAATATTATTCTGCCTTTTCACTACAGCATTGTCTTGTGACAAACACCAGGCCAGCTTTTCCTGGAAACCTCATTGATATATCTGTGTAGGCTCTTAGTCATCCATCATCACAGTCATATAAGGAGTTACGGGTCATATTGATGCATTTGCATGAAATCATTAGGGGCTGCAGTTTTTTGTTTTTTTAAATATGAATAAAGTTGCACAATTTTCACTTCACTTTAGATGATTCATAGGTATACTGTTTTCCCAGTTTTGACTTGAACCCTCTGAGGCGACACACTTTTTGGACCATATCCATCGGTGGAACACTTGGCTGGACAATGACCAGTGGAACTAGCCAGACTCAGGTTCAGAGATACAACTCCTGCAAGAGCATCACTCATGCCAGAATGTGAGTCACAATTTGATGGGAGGATTTTGTAACTGAAACAATACTATATCACTTAAAATGTGTGAATCTAGACTCAAATGTGGAAAATTTTCAGGCTTGCGTATAGTAAAGTGTAAAAATGTCAATTTTCTGCTTGTCAAATCTATTAAGTGCAGTGTACTTGCAAGCAGGACCCTAGAATACTCAAAGTCTAGACTTGGTATGATTTAAGGACCCTCAGTCTTGTAACTCAGGGGCCCCGGATACAGTGCATCCATAAACAAGTATAGATTTTTCTTAATGCCAGCCTGGCAAGAATGGAAATTTATCCTTTCAACTGTTTCACCTGGTCTCTTTCAGAGCTGTGTTCATCAGCGTGGTAAGTTATTCTTTGTTCCTGGGATCTGCAGTGTTTTCAGGATTGTGCCTCTACTCTTTCTATAAGGACTGTGATCCATGGACGGCTGGAAAAATTTCTTTTTCTGATCAGGTATTGAGGTTCTGTGTCAACTTAATACCCCTTAAAGTACTAGTGGATCTGCCTGTGGTTTTACAAGCACCAAGTTGATCTTTGTTTCTTCATAGCTGCTGCCATATTTGGTAATGGATATCCTGAAAAGCTACCCTGGCCTCCCAGGACTCTTTCTTGCAGCAGTTTACAGTGGCACCTTAAGGTTTTATACTTTTATTTGCTAATAAAGTATTGCAGTTCCCAGCATCAAAAGCTGGGCCTCATCCTGTACTTAATGCATCTTGTTTCCTAGCTGGTTCCATCAGTTAAATGATTGTCAAATGTTACGTGAATGGTTGCAGACATTTTAATAACTTTTATTAAACTCAGCACAGTCTCATCAATCATCAACACATTGGCTGCAGTGACTCTAGAGGAGCTGATCAAGCCAAATGTCACACTGACTGACAGACAATTGCTTCACATCTCCAGAACACTGAGTACGTACCTGATCTGTTCACAGTACATGATTAACTGTCCTTTGAGCACTGGTATGTGACTGAGGCTAAAGCTGAATTAGTTAATAAATCTTCATGATTAAAATGTCAGTTGTTACACAATGTTGTTGCAGGTTGCGGTATCGGAGTCTTGTGTGTTTCTATGGCTGGCCTGGCATCACTTATGGGACTACTTGCTCAGGTAGTGAGAATCTGATACAAGTTACAACATGAAAATGCATGAATCTTAAATGTGGCCTACCAAACACTTGGAACATCTTTAATGTTTGTGTGGCATTTAAGATTTCAATTCGGCTGTCTCTCACAGGCAAGAATCATCATGGGTGGGGTCAGTGGAAGTCCTATGTTTGGTCTGTTTGTGTTGGGCATCCTGTGCCCATTTGCCAACTCCACGGTACGTCTTCGACTTTTCACTCTTGCTTTGATTTCATTATATTGCCTTAACATCAGAAATGAATCTGGATTACAAATTGGCTAAATGGTATCCCCATGAACTGCAGATAACAAATCATCAATGTGATTTGTTATTAAAAATTCAGGGCATGGTGTATGTATCTTTTAAACAACAGGGGACTCTATTTACAAGTGACGCATGAATTAAAGAAGAAATTAAGTAACTTTCACAGCAAAAATCCACAAAAGAAACTGTATTTAGGCTTAAGCAGGAGATGGACAGTCCCGTTAAGTCACAGGAAGACGATATTTGAATTCAGTTCTACCCTGATGTGAACCACATGGAAGCTTCACTGTGTAGCTACTGGTCTGTCTGCAGGGAGGTTTGTTTGGTCTTGCATTTGGGTTCGCTGCTTCCCTGTTTGTAAGCCTCGGATCCATGCTGTCTTACGCTGACCCTGAGATGACCCGACCTCTGTCACTAAGCACCGAGGGTTGTAACTTCACCATTCCTGGCAGTCTCAACTGGACCACTGATCTTCCAACACAGATGAATTCATTTACCATGGCTCAAGTGCAAGATGGTGCCACGTAAGTGTGGCGGTGTATATATCGTGTGATCAGAAACTTTGTAGTTCATTATTGTGTGAAAGCTTAAGTGCCTTTTTTTTTCTCTCACCAGACATCTGCTGACACGTAACTGGCACTCTCCTTCTTACCTCTACTTCTCTGTCATTGGATTCATCACAACTGTGATTGTTGGAGCGATAGTCAGTCTGTACACGGGTAAAAATCTCACAACTGATTACAAACATTAGACGGGGAAAGCGAACCTTGTATCACTGTTGCATTTGGCCCCTTTGTCTTCAGGTGGACTGAAATAGAAAGTGGCACCCAGTCTTATGCTGATGAAAGAGGACATGCTGTCCTATCATCTATTCAAGCTCATCAAATGTAAGGTAAGTGCTGTAGCGTGAAACGGGTGTTTTGTGTGTGGGTTCCCCCCCTTTAGGTCACAAAAAGACCAAGGGGGGCCGAACAGGGTGGGACCGAGGTAGGAACACAAATCCAGAGTTCTACATGACATGACATTTACTACACTTCTTGTTACAGTAGTTCAAAAATTATTCTTGGCCTAATGAGATTCTTCCCCTACAGGAGACAAATGAAGGCCATTTGAGGACGACTATGCTTAAGAGAAGAGGTGCAGCAGCTAAAGCAGAAGATTAGATGGAGTCTAACGAATGGAATACTCAAAGGATTGCTTTTATGTTGTAACATTGTAATTTTTAATCAAACCTTCAGTCACCATTTTATTCTAATGTGCCTCATGCTTACTGACCCTACGAGAACAAGCCTGCTAGATGAACACTGGCAAGATTATGAATGCATGGATCTGATTGCAGGCTCTATGGTTTGCTGCAAGTCATTTCCAAAGTTTACCTGAGATTTACTATACAAACTTCAACATGGGCAACAAAGCATTGCTCTAATCCAGGTGGCTGCAGGAGTTTAAAAAAATTGACAACTGTTTTAGTGATTGTGGTGATTTGTAGTCTTCTTGGTGTAGTTCTTGGGACATATAGCTTTTTTTTTTTATTGTGTTTTTGTTTTTATTTTTGGAGGGGTGTGGGTGCTTTTAATATACTTGTATACACATTTTAAATGTTAATCAACAAATTGGATATGCATATTCAAATATATACTGATTTGAAACAAACTTCAGCTGTGGTGTCTGTCTTGAGTAGTCTACACATTGGCAGTTTAGTACCAATGATTCCCTGACCAGGAAAATGATGCATTAACATTTTGCATACACATGGATTCAAGGCAGTTTAAACTTCTGCTTAACCCTAGAACTTTTTTTTCTTCTTTTTTTTTTTCTCCACCCAAGCAAATATGTTTACATTATTTCTCTCCAGCTGTTGGCATGTCGCGGAGACTGTGCCTTAACCAGGGAAGTCTCAAATGTCCCAGGAATGGGTGGATTGAAGACCAGCTTTCCAGTGTGAATAAGAATATTCTTGAATTCCTGCTTGTTTTTTCTGTAATTTTAAGACCTATTGATCTGCTTGAAATTTGCAAAGAACAGTAATTGCAAGAATGTAGGCATTAAACCCAGAGATTGTAATCTAGGGTTTTGTTTTTGATTAGCCCTTTCTGGAGTTCCGACACTTAAGTTCAACTTGGTCGGTAACAGGAAAACTTTGTGCAGATAGTTGGGGTGCACATAGTGTTTAATTTGCTTTTCTGAGCAAACATAATGACCCATTTCTCCTCCCATCCTATGAGAAATATGGTCAACACTGATATGTTCATACCTCAGTTTACTGGATTTAAATTTAAACTCTTTACACTGCCATGGCAAATCATGTTAGTTTTCTTCTACAGATTTATGCACTTAGAGGGAAGTTAATCAGAGTTGAATGAACAGCAGCTAACTGTATTTTCTTTAGCCCATGAAGAGATCGAGGGCTGAGCAGGGTGGGACAGACTTAAAAACACTCATCCAGAATTCTACATCAAATGACATTTACTACACTTCCTCTTTCAGTAGCCTAAAAATCATTCTTGGTCTAATAAAATTTTACTTTAGACACCGGACAATAGCGTCCACCATTGCTCAGGCAGGTTGTATACATATTCAGTGTGGCAGAGCAGAATACATTGCACATGGTAAACAGTCTAAAGTTAAGCTTAAACTTAACAGATGTGTTCAGCTGTGTATTTCTATACATCTGGGCACATTAATGACCTTTAAAACTGGAGAGATCATCAGCAGAGGAAACACTGCCGTCAGTCTGGCGAGAACGACAAGCTTACAGCAGCTATGCGCAAAACTCGATCCCAAGGAACTCTACTATTTTATCACTTAAAATGTGTGAAATTTCCAGGCTTGCATATGGAAGTGTAAAAATGTGCTAGTCAATTTTCTGCTTATCTAATCTATTAAGTGCAGTGTACTTGCAAGCAGGACCATAGAATAGTTAGTCTGGTCTTGGTATGACCCTCAGTCTTGTAACCAGGGAACTCGGATACAGTGCATCCATAAACAAGTGTAGATTAGGGGAGTTGATCTGTAAAATTGATCTTTTCGAAGATGAATGCCAGCCTGGGCACAACAGAAATTTATCCTTTCAACTGTTTCACCTGGTCTCTTTCAGAGCTGTGTTCATCAGCGTGGTAAGTTATTCCTTGTTCCTGGGATCTGCAGTGTTTTCAGGATTGTGCCTCTTTCTATAAGCACTGTGATCCATTGACAGCTGGAAAAGTTTATTCTCTTGATCAGGTATTTGGGGTTCTGTGTCATAACCGAATACCACTTAAAGTACTAGTGGATCTGCCTGTGGTTTTATAAGCACTAAGTTTATCCTTACGTTTCTTTTGGTCATCGATACCTTAAAAGGCTACCCTGGGCTCCCAGGACTATTTCTTGCAGCAGTATACAGTGGCACCTTAAGGTTTTATACTTTTATTTGCTAATAAAGTCTTGCAGTTCCCAGCATCAAAAGCTGGGCCACATAAGAGTTGGCAGAAGTACAGACAGTCTATACTTAAGTAGAAGTAGAAACACTACTGTTAAAAAAGTATTCCAGTAGAAGTTGAAGTACTGATTCAACTTCTTTACTCAAGTAAAAGTAAAAATGTACAAGATCTGAAATGTAATTAAAGAAAGCAAAAAGTAGCTTCATGGAGGACGTTTCTATTTCTGTGCAAAGCTAATTAATCCTTGTGCTATTTTAACATAATGATAAAATAATATCAGTAGATATGGATGCAAACCAAAAATTCTAATTAAACCCAGCTAGAATCTGAAGAAAATTACATATCCATTGTCTCTTCCCTACATTGCAGAGAAGTGTTTCCCAACCTTCTGGAGCTTCGGCACAAATTTTACATTAGAAAAATCACACAACGCACCAGCAAAAGAAAAAAGTCACAAAAAGCATATTGATAATTTTTCCCTGTGCACCCCGCATATCAGAATTGGTTTGCTTTGTCCCCAGTATACACCTTTTTTTTCCTTCTTCTTTTATTTGTCTTTTTTCTGATCGCTACTCTGTGGGTCCTGGAGAAAATTTCGACCCAGATGAAGGCCCTAGCTTTTTTTTTCTCATATATTTGTCTATTGCTATTACACGCTGCATTGTCTCACTCGAATGTAATTGGTTGTAATGGCTAAGTGGGGGGAAATGAGTCATAATGCACATTAATTTCTATTTTGAGAGCTCCAGTAGATTTTTGTAGTTTCCAGGCAGTGATCAGCTGACCTCCTGCTCTTTGTGGATGTGTGGATTCACAACTGAATTTGAGCAGATGTTTCATGAGTTTTCCTGGCTGATTTCCATCTTTTACACTGACAGTACACTCTTTATGCTCTTTTTTTCTAGATGGTATAAAGTTGGCATGAAGGTGGAATCTCAGCATCATCTGCTAAAAATTCTTATAAATCTCTGCTATACTATACCTAACTCTGACCATGAAACCACAACCACTGCACCACTCTCACACTGTTCTTTACTTTAATTCCATCACAATACAGCAAACTAACCTGTTTATGCTGCACTAAGCTACAGAGGATTTTCTTGAAACCTTTAAATAAGTCTTCCTCTGTTTGCAGCAGGTTTCACAATATTAGAAAAACACAATGGTGCATGTACAGAGCCAATATCTGATTTAAAAAGATGAGGATTTCCGTGTAATCCTGCAATTTGCAGTTTGTCAAATCCAACTGAGCAATCCTTACTTTTAAATTTCACCTCTGTCCTGTCTTTCTTATCTTTCTCTCTGAGTGAAGTCAAGTCAGCTGAACTTTTATCTAGCAACACACTGTGCCAAAGACTGCACACAAACAGTCTGTGTTTGTTGAACTGATAGAAATGTTGCATTTGAAATTGTCTGACACTTTTAAAAAAAAGTCACTCCCTTTATGCTCGCTCCTCTTCATTATAGCCAGATAGATGATGAAGTACTGCAACTGTTGTGGCAAAAACCCAACCAGAACAACGAACGCTCACCCACGTTTAACAACTGTTACGGATTCAAATATTGGGGATGGATACAAGAGGAAAAACCACAATAACAACACTGGGCGGCCGGGTTGAGTCAAACGATGCTTTTAATGATCACACACGTGGGAGATGGACACCGTACGCAGACAGCATCAGATCTCAAAATAGTGGAGCATTGATCAAACTCTTATAGCCTCTAGTGGCCCCCACCTAATCATAAAAGCCTAAACATTCACATTATTTCTCTCACAAGTTTGCAGGTATATCAGCACGAGACATTCTTACATAGAAGAGACGTTAAAGTCTCTAACTCAGTGAAGCATTATTGGTCCCGTCTGTTTGGATAAATATAGTAAGTTGATGTACGTCCATTTATTGACACATTTTCTTAAGTGCTTATCCAGTTCAGGATCACAGTGGAGCTGCAGCTG